TGGATAATGACTAAGCCCCAAAACCATAACATAAAAGTCCATCACTAGATAATCTTCTAAAGCCCACCAGTGGCCTTCTTATGGCCTAATTTTCCAAATTGGACACAAATTCCTCTAATGGGCTTTACCCTAAAGCCCAAACATAAACATAGCCTAAAACCTGATTTCATATGGTCCACTATAGCCCAAAGCAACAAGGTCCAAGAAAATGGCCCAAGAAAAGCCCACTGTTTGGTCGAACGTTGGGCGTTCCCTTGTGGAACGTTGGGTGTTCGTTACCAGTGAACAGATCACGAGCCCCAGCCAGAACGTTGGGCGTTCCTCGACCCAATGCTAGGTTGAAACATCCCAAAAATACAGTCCAAAATTTTCGTTTTTAAATCATTATTAAAACCATAAATATCATCATTATAGTATAAAATCATGAACCATGTATCTCAAAATATCATAATGTCTTTCAACATATCAAAATCTCATATCAATTATCAGAGTAAATCTCCTAGGCTAGAAAACTGTGGTGTGTGTCAAGCGATCATCCTGAGCTCTTCCCTTTGCTAGCTGAAGTACCTGAAACCAAATTGAAAACTGTAAGCATGAAGATTAGTGAGCTCCCCTAAACTACCACATACCATACACATATATCATATAATAGATAACACAACTATGGGACACCGCCCAGCTGCATCGGGACGAGCCCGGCATCGGGCTCACCCCGGCATCAGACCACATCTGGCATCGGGCTCACCCCAGCATTGGGCTTGCCCTAGAATCAAGCATAACCCGACACATACACAATATATCATATATCATAAACACATAACATAAGCATATAACATACATCGGGCTTACCCCGATATCGGACTTACCCCGATATCGGACCGAAGCCCGGAATACATAACAGATATCATATAAACTAACATGCATCGGGCTTGCCACGGAACACATAACACATAACATGCATGAATCACAAAGACATCAAGCATACATATACTCTTCTCGAGACCGCCCCAGCATCAGACCGTAGTCCGGAACTACTAACAACTAAACGGGCTGGCATTGTGGCCTTAGACCCGTTCCTACTGGAAGATGACTCACCTCTCAAACTGGATGTTGAACTCGTGCATGAGGAATCTCTGTTGGCTACTCCCTTGACTCTCCGGCTACCTCTATACAATATTACTTAGTCAGAAAACTAAAAATCCATCTAAGGGTAAAATGACCATTCTACCCCCAGTCAAAGTCCATACTTTGCTCAAAGTCAACATTCTGGGTTGACTAACTCGCCGGGTTCTATAACTCAGAAATCCTGGAATTGCCACTCAACTCACCGAGTCGCTCCACCGACTCGTCGAGTCCTATCGAGCTGCTCAGTCGCGACTTGGCTAATCCACCCGTCGAGTCCCTCTACAGACTCGTCGAGTTCTACTATAAACTAGAATTAGGACAACACGACTCGACTCGTCGAGTTCCCTCATGGACTCAACGAGTCCTTATGTCTGATTGGCCATCTTAATAGAATAAGCCCGTGTTCTCTAGATCTATAGTCCATACTTCACTTGTTCACTGGGAATGACCTTTCTAAGGGTGAATTTTCCAACTTTACCCGTTGATAACTCTTTTTGAAGGGTTTAGCTAAAACCCTAATTCCTTTAGCACATAGATCTTGTCCAAAAAGCCTTAGAGTCTCAAATCCACGCATGAAAACCTAGATCTAGGGCCTAGCTATCAGATAACCACGAAAAGTCTCAAGCTTGCTTCCATGCATGGCCTTTTTGAGCTCAAAAGGCCATAAATACGTCTTTAGCACTTGCATGGGGGCTCTAAGGACATAAAGTTACACCTTTATGTCTTCACATCCCCTCTAGGCGCTAGATCTGGAAAAGTAACTCTTGGGTCGATCCTTACCCACAAGCTAGAAAATCTTGGACCAAAACCCACATAAAGTGGTCATAAATAGATCTAAGAAGAGAGTGATCAAGTTTAAAGCTTTATTACTAGAAAATGCAGCTAAAGGGATGAAACTTTTGGATCTACTATTTCTATCTTGAGTCCTCTAACTTCTTCTTCTTCCACAAGCTTCAAAAGGCACAAATAACACTCAAAATGACAAGAAATAGCTCAAGATCACTCAAGGTGGATTAGGGTTTCGAGATTAGGGTTTGGAGGTGATAGAGGTTGGAGTGGAGGCCAGATATGATGCTTAAATAGGGTGCAAGCCCTAAAGATTAGGGTTTCATCCAGATTGTCCTACTCTCCGAGCTAAGACCCCGACTTGTCGAGTAGCTCACTTAAAATCCCCGCATATACTTGATGGGTTTTGAGCAATACATCAATCCTATGGTGTACATGCAAACCCTAATACTTTTGGATCTAGTTTGTCTAATGAACATGCAATTGAATACCCAAAGCTATAAACCCTAGATCTATCAAATAAGAACTGAAATAAGGGTTTAGTAATTACCTTTGATTGTTATATTGCAATAACAATCAATTCCTTGCTTTGATTGGCTTCCAAAGCTTAGTGCCTCAAGTGTTGCACCTCTAATGGAGTCACAAACACCACTAAGCAACTTGGATGAAGAGGAGAATAGAGGAGGCTGCCCAAAACATCTAGAAACCTTAATCTAAGAGTTCACTATGTTTTGGGGGCCATAAGGGTCCTTTATATACTTAGGCAATTAGGGTTGTCAAGCTAGTAAACCCTAATTTGACTGCTTAAGCCCTAAGCAGCCCATGGACCATTCTAGAAGGCCCTTGGACGATTTCTTTATGGATCTCCATATAGAATTCGTCCATTGCCATCTAATGGATCCTAAGCCCAACTTTGTAACTATCTTATAATTACAATATCAGTCTCCTAAGTTTAATTAATCTCTTTTAGCCACAAAATTAATTATCAACTAATTCTTGACTAATATTAATTAAACAATATAATTTCTCTTTTAATATATTATTCTCATAATATATTAATAAATCATATTTAAACATTTCTCTCCTTAATTCATCCTACATATTGTTATGGTGAAGGCAACCCAAAAGGATCATGCTCATAATCGGGTCAAGTACATACCAAAATAGTTATGGACTTAGACACTAATCCAACAATATTGCCTTCTACTCGACGAGTTAGGGCCACCAACTCGTCGAGTAGCCCTTCTAAGATGCATAAATGATTAAGTTAAATACGTACCAGGAAACCGGGCGTTACATAGGCGTTCGCACACTGATGCCCAAAAGTGCTTATTAAGCACTTAATGTCTAAAGCCACATGACCATAACCTAGATCCAAGTCCTAAAGATCATATAGAATCATAAAGTCGCTGACTTGGTGGCTTTGCATGCCCCAAAAGGTCCCAACTTCAAGGTATAGCATTCAACTTCCATAAAAAGGGCTTAATCTCATGCATGACACGTATACAACTCTAAAGATGTAAACTTTATGAATCTAAAACATCATAAACACCAAGAGAAGCAACTCAAAGCTTCTTGAGTGACCATAACTACAAGATCTCAACCATGGGACCAAAATCCATAAAAACTTAGATCTAAGCTTCTAATGAGCAAGGTTAGAGCTTTATACCTTAAATGTGTTGGAATTGGAGCAGAGAACCAAGATCTAAAAGCTCTTACTTTAATCACCAACTTGCACCAAGCTTCTCTTCCTTGAATGAGCATAAAACACACACCAAAACACACACAATGAGCTCACAACTCACAAGGAGGCTCTAGGGTTTCGAGATTAAGGCGTGTGGCTGGAAATGAGGCCAACACCAGCTGAGACTTAAGGTGTTTAAATAGGGTCCAAGACCCTAAATTAGGGTTTCCATCTGATCATACGAATGCCCTATGTTCCCATATCTTCTCGCATCCGCATTTCCCATGTTCGCCCTGTGTACCTCCCTTGTGCGCCATGCGTATCCGTTTTGGCCCAACACCCCTCTAACTTCAAATGGTCATAACTTTTGCATCCCTTATCCGTTTTCGACGTTCTATATATCCACTGAAAGGTGGCGAGAAGCTTTACACTTCTAACAACCTACCTTCATCTTAAAACCTCCCGAACAAAACCCAAAATCCATAAAAGACCGAAATATCAAATTATGGTTATACCCTTGGCCTCCGAAGACACAATCTAACACTTGGATCATTTGGATCATAACACCCACACTCGAGAAGGGCCAAATTCTTCATTTCCCAAGGCCCTAAGCCTCATGACCATTGAAGATTGGACTGCAGCCCCGAATGAAAAAGCAAATTTGAAACCTAGTGTTACACCAACTTATCGATGAATATTCTTGAGAACTATAAAAATGTTGAGAATTGATCTAATTATTTATCAAACAAATGAAAGGTTAAAAAAAAGGAGTTTGTATGTATAAATATGCTCATCATAGAAAAAAATGTTAATTAAAGAAAATTACATGAAAGCATGATATTTTAACCATTTTTTATCTTAGTATTCGTGAATCAAAATATTTCACAGATCCAATCAACTTCAACAATTTTATTCTAGTATGACTACTTTAACCTGTTATAGTAAATAAAACTAACCAATATAGTTTTAGTTTGTTAAGCTTGAATTAGTGGCGGATACAAAAAAAAATATAAATGTTAGAACAATTTTTTTAAGGGTTGCACTACTAAAAAAAACTCATTTTCCAATAGCAGTTTCCGTCAGAAAAAAGTTACACCGACATATTTACAATATATTTACACTTATTTCTAACGGATTTTCAAATGATTCGTGACGGATTTTAACGAATTTACATTAAATTTTACACTTAACGATAAAATTTAAGAGATTATCCGTGCTACCCATAACACCAAATAGGTATGTCCCTGACTTATTAGAATTTCTTTGATTTATAATCGTTAGACCATAAAAAAGAACCAAAATGTATTAATGTTTTTTTGTTATATTCTCTTAAAACTTATACATTTAGTTATTTGCTCTACATGTGCCTACATGTGTATACGGAATGTATGTTTAGGTGTAGAATGTAGATGGCTGATGGCCCCCTTGGTCCTTCCCTTCTGCTCAGTCTCCAATTAAATGCTATCATCGCCTTTAATGCTCTCTTTCCCTCCTCTGCAACCTCTACTTACAATATCTTTACATACACATATACATACAATACATACATGTATGTATATGTATGATTTGAAGCGACAACACAACTGACGTACACACACACACACAATAATATATATTGTGTCTTTTTGGTTTTCGAATCCAATCTCCGCTATTAATGCTTCCTTCCTGCAAAATTTCTCCTCGTTGCTTTGCGTATTCAGCTCTTACCACCTATTATCACTATTATAACTTCAAGTAAGTTTCTCTCTCTCTCTCTCTCTCTCTCTCTCTCTCTCTCTAGATATCGTTGTTTTCTCTCTCTACTGCATTTAATTTTGCAATTATTATCAAGTGCTATTCATGAATTTAATGGCGATTTGTAAGAACTGATGGGGGCGGAAGCTTGTAAAAGAGGAAGCAACACATTAAATTCAGTTTTTCAATGCTTTTTATTTGCAAAAAGTATTGGATCAACATGTCTATCTCCTAGGGTTTTTCAAAAGAACAATTAATTGATCTCGAAAAATAATAACCAAAAATTATTTAGCCATTATTGTTCTTCTGCATTTAGAGAAAAAAAAAAAACAAGTTGAGTTATTATTTTAAGTTGTAATAATTAGTTTTTATTGTTTGATAATTTTATTTTATCATCAAGTATTTAAGGATCATATAATTTATTTTGTGTCGATTAATAATAAAACTGGTCAATGTTTAAGGATCATATAACTAGATTTGTGTCATTGTAAATAATACCATAAAGAAAAATGATAACGGTAAAATTATTAGGTTAAAATTGTATTAAAAAATCAACTATTTTTAACGTTTGACATTAAGTTGCCTACAAATCTAACTTACTATAAATAAAAAATAATTCTTTTCATTTCCACCTCTACTATACCGGTAAAGCGTGTCATAGTTTAATTTTAAATTTTTTACATAAGTATTAAATTTTGTTATGAATTTTGTCTAACATCTCAATTTGTTCAAAAAAAAAAAAGCATGTCATTGTATAAGAATCTACAAACGAAAAAAATTACGAAAAATGTAAGTCTCATAAGAAACCTACAGTGTATAAACAATCCATACATGTTTTTATGCATTAAGTAATTGTACACCATAAGTATTTTACGAAGCATAAAGTTTTGTTTTTATTTTTTCGATTTTTTCCAAAATAATAAATCATATGTATTGAATCTCATGGTAAACAAGAAAAAAAAGTCCGAGATTCCAAGAAATACTTCGTTCTTTGAAGCTTCATTGATAGAGTTATTTTAAGTTCGAAAACACAAAAAATGAGCAAAATTAAAATTTTCAACTTCATATTGTGTCTAACAAGCCCTAAAGACCCAAGAAATAATAGTTCATTGCCGGGAAGAGTAGTCAACTTAGTGTTGACCGTAGTCAACCATGCATTGACCATAGGTTTCTTAATCACCCACGATTTCAGCGGCTAATTTGAGATAAATGCTAATTTTTGACTAAAAACTAAAAAATAATTAAGAAAAATTGTTAGTTTTGTAATTTTCTCTAAAAGACACCAAATCATTGTTGAGATGCATTCATAGTTTAAATTGTTGTGAATTAACTTAGTTTACAATTTAATAACTGCAATGATCTAGTGTTATTTACGATTATGACACACATTCAGTTTCAGTTTAACAGGTTGTACATATTTTCACAGTTTAATAACTACGAATTTGATTACTAAGTGGTTTCTAACTTTTTTTTTTTTTGTTTCTACTTGGACATTTTATAAATATAGTCCAAACATTTTCTAAATAAAAAAATCGTCAAAAATTAGTTTTCCTTCATAAATTATTTGGTTACAAGTTTTTAATACGACCTCCTAAATTATTTAACCGGTTTGTCGTCGTTGTAATGAAGGCCGATTACCAAATATGCTGATACATAGTTTCTGTATCGTGTTTTGCAAAACTCTTGAAGATAATATGATAATAGAGATAGAGAGAGAGAGAGAGATATAAATACGATCAATAAATGCAAATAGTGTCGGCATGTAATTCGCCGGTCGTCGTACCTGAGATTTTGATTCTTCTCTTGACATGTCTTTTCCCCCACACACACCAACACACATTTTCTTTTCAAATTCATTCTCAAATCTCCATCTCTCACTCTCTCTCCATAATTATTGCTCAAATCATATATACTCTTCTTCTTAGTTCTTCCCCTACATATATACATTGATTCGGTTTAAATTTCTAGGGTTTTGATTCAGAGTCGTTGAAAATGGGGAGAGCGCCTTGTTGTGAGAAGACGGGATTGAAGAGAGGGCCATGGACTCAAGAAGAAGACGAACTGTTGATTGAGTATATCAAGAAGAACGGCCATGGAAGCTGGCGATCTCTACCTAAACTCGCTGGTGTGTTTCTGTTTATCTCTTTCGCTGATTTATCCATGAAATCTAGGTTAAACTTGTTTTGATCGAAGATAATAGCATTCTACTCGATTTTGATTTCAAAATCTTTAAAAGAATCAAATGATCGAAATATATGATATTCAGTTATTCACCTCCATTTTTTGCTTCGATTTTGGTTTCAAAATTTCTCCCTCTGAATTTTATCTTCAAAAAATCAACGATCGTTTTATTTTTGTGATTATGCAAAAAAGAATGCTTATTTTGTTTTGTAGAGGTCACAAAAATTCAGTTTTGTGAATATTGGACATTTTAACTCGTAAGAACTAATTTTGTAGTAGATAAATTTGATCATTTTGCAACTAAAAACGAAAAAAATATATATACCCATAATGTGAAGCAGATAAAATCTTATACATAAAAGTCCCAATACTTAGTTTTGGAATTTTTTTTTTTTTTTAAAATAAATATGTATTTATTATAGCTCTAGAATGTCAGAAAACCCATTTTTGTGGAGCAGATTGCTAGTGGTTAATATTCATTAAAGTCGTGATAATTAATTTTTACCTTTATTTTCAAAAATCATTCTATCTTATATACTTTTATTAATCCTTAATTATTTTGGTTAAGAAATTAGAAAATCTACAATTTAAATCAATATTTTTAAATAATACTACGTACCCATTAATCTTTTTCTAATATAATAATTACATGTTTGTAATCTTCCTATTAAGTTAACTATTGTATATATCAAAAGTTTTCAAAAACAAAATCATGAAATAAGTTAGAAGATTGTTTATTTGTATGTATGGATTATGTTGAAGAGAGTAATCATTGATTCATATTCTCTTTGTGTCATCAACAAAACAGACAAATAAATGTGTGGGGTCCATGCATATCTCTTATTATATATTATTATAACATAATATCAAGACTTGGATTTAAATGCAACTTATTGACATCACATGGATGAAAGTACACTTTTGTTGTATTGTCCATTCTATCACTATTTCCACATCAAAATTAGAACCGATATATTTTATATCAAAAAAATTCATTAATTATTTAAACAATTTTCCAGGTTTGCTCCGGTGCGGTAAGAGTTGTCGGCTCCGGTGGACAAACTACCTTCGACCGGACATCAAGCGCGGTCCCTTTAGCCCCGAAGAAGAAAAACTCGTCATCCAACTGCATGCCATTCTCGGCAATCGGTACTGCTAATACTCGAACCCTTTGTTTCTTTTTTGTAAAAGGGACACAGTGTTGAGAATCTTAATCCCAACGTGGGTTGGGATTTTTATTTCCACTGCGCAAATGGATTTTATAATCAATTACTAACCCTCAGCTCACGCTGGCCCACACTATCAGAAAAGGACTTGTGACAATGTGGGTGGGATTCTCGGTCCCGAGGGTTAGTAATTGATTATGGTTTTTATCTGGGGAATGAAATTTTTTTAATTTATGATTTTATGTTGACATTTTATTTGTATTTTTCAGATGGGCTGCAATTGCAGCCCAAATACCAGGAAGAACGGATAACGAGATCAAGAATTTATGGAACACTCACTTGCGAAAACGTCTTCTTTCCATCGGAATCGACCCACAAACCCACGAGCCGACCGCCGTATCGGGCCCGCTAAAACGACCGCCGGCCTCCCCGTCCACCCGCCACATGGCGCAATGGGAGAGCGCCAGGCTGGAGGCCGAAGCACGTCTTTCGATGGAATCATCTCTACTTTTAAGCTCATCGATAACAAACAAAAGAATCAACAACACCGCTAACGCCGACTATTTTCTCCGAATTTGGCATTCCGAAGTTGGGAACTCGTTTAGAAGCATGAATAAGGTTGTGTGCTCTAGTCCGGCTTCACAAGCCTCGGTTTCCGGGACGACTATGGAAACGGTACACAAACCGGAATTGGAATCGGAATTGAAATTCGAGGGTAAAAACGGACATTTCTACACCGGAATCACACATTCCTCGAGCTCGGATGAAGTTGAAGATTCGTCGGATACCGCATTACAGTTGTTTTTTGATTTCCCTGGTCAAAATGATATGAGCTTCTTAGAAGCTCATTTCAATTAAAGTTGAACTAGAAGAGAAACTGTCTGACAGACAGCTTGTTTCAGACAGGTTCTCTTCTGGTATTAGTTTTTATGAAAGAAGACAAAGATATTTGAGTACGAGGTCTTCGTTGTATTGTAATTTTATATATATAATCATGACGCTTTTATGAGCTTAGGTGTGAAACAACTAACTGTTATGAACTTAGCTATGAAAGTAGATGACTGTTTTGGAACAATGATGTTGACGAATGATATTTAGCAATTTTTCAATCTACGTTTTGGCATTTCTTTGGCTTTGTTTGTGTTCACCAGGGCTTTTTTTTTTTGGATATATATATAAATCATATGGATTTTTGTTAAATTATGTGTTCGATTAACTTAATAACTTATATGAAGACAGGAGGAGTTAGCTTGTTTCATCACTCATGTATCATGACCTTGTTTCATCCCTCGTATCCTTATGTAAGACATCACTAGCGAAAACTTATATAGAATCGCCAACGTCCTCAATAGACCTTAAAAACCTCATAAATGTATGGGCCACAGAGGCAAGCTTAGGGACATAAGGGATAAAACAGGTCCCGAAACATGCAAAAGTGTCTAAGAGATGAAGCTACAAAAACATCGGAAAGAGTCTGCACCACACAATCGTCTCACCCATAAACTTCATACATAAGATGCAACATGTACGTAAAATGCCAAACACCATTTAGCAATCAAACTTTACCATCTAAGCGTGAAAAGCATCTTAATCAGGATTATCACCATAAACTCATCATCAAATCACAATATAATAGCAACTAGGTTTAAACTGAAAAAAATGACAATAGACCTCTCTGAAAATAATATATTGGGTATGTTGTGAAAAAAAATTCAAAATGGAAACCAGCTAAATTTATCAAACCGATAAAGGTATCACTCTTGAGGGATTTCTTGAATTCTTTTTTAAATTTTAGGTTTAAACCTGAAAAAAAAAAATTGACTTGGATAAAAAAAAATCTTTTTTTTGTATGTAACTAATCAAAAGTATAAAGTAACAAGTAAGTGGTCGTGGTGGGGAGGTTTGGTGCATGTTGGTTGGGGCAAATTGAATTGAATAGCACTTGTACTGGATTAGTTATTGCATGAAATTTGAATGTTAAAAGTTTGTTCGAATAAAAAGAGACAATAGTTACCATACTATTATTCGAAAGACTATATAGCTTAATTTGGTATATAACCAAAATGGAACTCCCCATTTCACAGCTTTTATAGTTGTATATTTTCCTTGAAATATTATAAATTTTAAATAACCTTCTTGTATCAGTATTACTATAATTTTATATCACAAAAAAAAAAAAAAAAAAAAAAACCGTCAATATTCTTTTTTAAACGGCAGCAAGATTTATATAAAATGAAACTAATAAGAAGCTAGGAGACAAGAGTTATGGAAATACAAAAACAAATGAGCATTACATTCTAGAACATGATTCGAACACAATTTTTGCCATCTTAAGTGTCCACCGGTGGTGGATGTGAAAGTTGTACCTAACTTGCCAGTGTTGTGTGATTTTGAAGCGTGGTTGAAGATTTTCTCGTTTATAAAGCCCATTTGAATATCAGAGAAATAGCTATATGCAGTTATGCACATCGCTAATTTTTTTTTAGTCATTAGGCCTAATAAATTTATGAGAACCCATCGAGTGAATATGTGATCTTCATCTTTCAGTAGCAAAATTACAGAGTTGCACAAAGATCGAGTGAATATGTGATCTTCATCTTCGGTAGCAAAATTACAGAATTGCACAAAGAGGTAGTCCCAATACCAATTTTATGTAGATTTGCAAGAATTTACGACTTTCAAGGGTGCTTTTGTATAACAGAGAAAAAAAGCGTCAAGGTTTTCGATGACTGATTTGCATAAGAGTAGACGGTATGGGCCTCAACGAGCGATAACGAGGCTCAGGTGGCACACAGAAACACCGTCCTAACGGGGAAACCCACCCTACTCGTTGCATCTCGTCGAGCAAGTCTCGTGAGTCGTGACCATCACAACGACTTGAAACGGGAAAAAAAATAACCGTCGGGGCTTATAACCGTTTGCAATGGTCAATATTCAAAAAACAAAATTACCTTTTTACCTATATATTTACTCATTTTAATTCAATTTTTACATCTTTTTATCAATCTCTCTATATTTTATACACTTTCTAAATCAAAAAATGGAGCAAAATCCAATCCCCCCCCCCTCCATCATCAAACTCAGGGCCGGCCCATGGGCGAGCGCACCGGGCCCCCAAAAGCCAAAGGGCCCCTATTTTGGACTTACAATATGGATTATATAATAACATCATTAAATTTAAGCATGGTGGATTGGTTTTTTAAAGTCCAATACTGTAACATCCGTAGGGTCGGTCCAAACATATATGGGGCCCGGAGCGAAAAGAAAAAAATAGTCCCTCAAATACAAATATAATAAAGATTGAAAAAAATATCATTACTCTTCAATATAGGCGTTTTCAATTAGAAATAAAAATCAAACTAAATTGTTTATATTTTGAGCTAAATTGAGTTTTAACCAACTTTAGGTCCTAAAAATCATTTAAGTAATAATTTATATATATATATATATAGATATATATATATATATATATATATATATATATATATATATATATATAAACTACATAGCCCATAAATTTTGGGCCCCCTGGAATCGTGGGCCCTGGGCGGTCGCCCGGGTGGCGCATCGTCTGGACCGGCCCTGAACATCCGGAATTACGGGTATGCTATTTTGATTATTTAATCATTTAATTTTTTTGGGGAGTTATTGGAGGGACTCGACGAGTTGGTGCTTCAACTCGTCGAGTAGGGTCGTGACTTTTGATGCGTTTTAGCGACTGGACTCGACGAGTCGGTGCTGACGAGGAAAACCCTAATTTCTCGGGTTTAGGACCTATTTAAAGGTTCTTATGGCCTTCATTTGTGGCCACTTACACCCCTGAGAAACCCTAGAGAGCGAAGAGAGCTTAGAGAGTAAAGGAAAGGCTAATTCATCATCCTTTTTGGTGTGTTCTTGCAAGAAGGAGTGGGAAAGTCCAAGCTAGATCGATTGTGAAGCTTGGATTTGTGTTATTCATTCTGAGATTCGCTTCTGGAGGTACAAATCCTTTCCCATTTCATGTATTTGATAGATTTCTTGAATCTAGGGTTTCTTTGCATCATTTTGAGTTGGATTATGAAGCATGTGATGTCCCAAAGTGGTGTAGATGTTGGATCTAGACCATGAGAGGTCCAAAAAGTCCCAACCTTCCAACATTTATGTTGTTTCATGAGAGTTTTGAGAGTAGGTTGCCATTTTAAAGGTTATTTCTCCATTTATGGCTTTGTATGTGTTGCATGAATGTAAAGTTTGAACCTTTTCGTGACTTTTGAGTGCTAGAAGGTTAGATCTACTAGTTAGAGAAGCAGATCTGACCTCAGAAGTTCGTTTTAGTGTTGCCATGGAAGGAACTCGCCGAGTCCATAAGGGGACTCGACAAGTCGAGTTGGGTTGCCCCGCGATTCATGACCAGTAGTAGCCCGTCGAGTGGAAGGTTCACTCGACGAGTCGAGTGAGGTTTAGAAAGATCCAGAGGACACGCTTGGACTCGCCGAGTCACCTATGTGCACTCGACGAGTCTGGTCAAAGTTTGACCGTTGACTTTTAGGGTTGAGTCAACACTTGGACTTTTGGACCATTAGAAGGGTAAATTGGTCTTCTAGCCTTCTGAGAGAACATTGGAACGAACTAGTCTAGCCTGGAGAGTCGTTATTGATTTGAGATGATTGCTTATATGTTTAAGCGGGGCTAGGTCATTGTTACGAGGTTCAGTGATACCGAACACGTGAGTTACTAGACAGCATATGAGATGAGTCTTCTCACTATACTTTACCTAGAGTGGTAACTATGTGTGACCGGAAGGTCTTATATGTTATGCAGAGTATGTGATATATGTTGCTATGTGATATGTATGTGTTATGCTATGTTATGAGTACTATGATATGGACCGGAAGGTCAACAGTGTATGGACCGGAAGGTTAAGATGATGAAGACCGGAAGGTCTTACGGGTAGGGTCGGAAGGTCTACCAGAGTCGGGACGGAAGTCCCCTGAGACACATGGATCGGAAGATCCCATAGAGTTATGGCCTTGAGTGGCGTATGTGTTGTATGTGGTATTTTGGGGAACTCACTAAGCATTTATGCTTACAGTGTTATGTGTTATGTGTTTCAGGTACTAGCGATAATCGCAGGAATGCGCCGGCATGATCTGTACACACTGGCAGGAGATTTGTTTTATGATCTTGGGATATGTTTTTATCGTGATGGCATTTGTTAAACTTGAGAATTTGAGAATATTGAATGAGTTTTATGTTATTTGAAAAATGAAAGTTGTTTTGAAAATTCACTTTGTTACAAATACTCTAATCATTTGTAATCCGGGAGCGGGAGCAGGTACATGCAAGCGTGCATCCGAGTTTCGATTTCCAAGGCTTCATAACTCTTCAAAATCAATTTTCATGGAGAATACAAACGACACAGTCCACTTCTCTAGAAGCCAACAATTATATCTTATTCTATTTCTTATTAAAGATCTAAGTCAATCGATCGTCTCATACTTCTTCTTTTCATGATTTCACAAAAGTGAAACTTGATCTTTTCCTTCTTATTTTTGTTTTCCTTTTTCTAAAATATCACGATTGAATCTATGAATGAATGCGAAATTATTTGATTTATATCTTAATTCAAACCTTTTAGAGACTGGAATCGAGAGTTACAGTAATTGTGTCACTTCTATTTCTTTATCAATCGCTGGAAATTTCAAGTTGCAGTCATTCGGAATTGAGGTCTAGAGACAAAATCGACTTTTGTATGTTCTAGCCTTTTTGAAAAATCTGTATCGCAAAAATGACATGTTGAGCAACAAATTTGGGTCAAAGAACTAAGCGGTACAACAAATTCAACGGTAATTACAATCGGCTTCAGGCGCAACAGCAAAGCGGAACCAACGACTTTGATTTGTTCAACTCTGCTAAGGAACAGTATCGGGTCGAAATGGGACATATTTTCGACTTTGAAAAATCATGGGAGTTGTTGCGAGCGAATCCAAGGTGGAATAAAATGCCTACATCGTCAGAGGTTCAATCTAAAAGGTCTTGCAATTCGAGTTCGATCGACGTGTCGGACGCACGGACTCACATCGACGAGCACAATTTATTAATAAAAGAAAAAAATGAGTTGAAACATCGTCATTTGGAGTTTCTAGAAAAAAAGCAAACGCAAAAAAAGATGGAACTAATGACACATCAGTTGTCAATTCTTCGGACAAACGATGAGGTTTAACATCTGTTGATCTGACGGTGCTACAAGCGATAAATAAACAAATTATGAAGCAATATTTGGATTAATTAGGATTGTTGTGTGGTTTTAGAAGTAATTTAAATGATATTTATTTTAGGTTTAAAATTATGTTTTTTTTTAATTGTAATCATAATTTTAGATTTTAAATATTATATCTTTTTTTGTTTTTAAAATATTATGTTTTATAAAAATATATTCATTTTAGTGATTAAAAAAAACATAAAAAGAAAAAAAAAACAAAAAGAAAAAGAAAAAAGGAAAAAAAATAAAAAATAAAACATATTTATTTTCAAAAAAATTGGTGTTGTATCTTATTATCTATTTTCCCACTTGGTGTTGTAACCCCATTTACTTATGTGACATTTAAATGACACAACTTGATATTGCATCTTGTTACCCATACCCCATACCCAATGCTCTAAGGTTAGGCAACCCGTAGGAGAGATTAGAGGTTTTCCATAATTTCCCAGTGTTTTTGATCCATCCACTTATAAAATGTGTTTTGAATTTTATATCTTAATTATGAGTTTCTATCTTTAATTAAAATTAAGGGTATATAAGTCAAAAGCCATTGTTTTTATAATCTATATCTCATAAAATTACATCAGTTATCCAAGTGTTTGATCATAATATCACATTATAAACCATTGACCACGTATTTTGAATATTACCAAATTCAAAAGTCTTCAACAAATTAAAACATATCAGCAAATCCAAAATTTCGTCATTCAACTATTATCAAGTTTGGCCCCCACAAAATCAAGTCACAGTCCAAAATAACCCTAAAAATATGGGTAGATGGTGAGAATAGAAAATCTTTACCTGTACAGTTTGTATTTAAGGGGCGAAATTTACTATAAACATCTAGAAATTTCAGTTTTTTTTTTCTTTTCTTTATTTATGCTGCGAGTGTTCCTTCATTGACTTGGCTATCATCGATAAAATCTGAAGTTTGGGATTTAGGTTTTATAACAACACGAGAAAACCCGTATCCAAGAGAGTTTCCACTAGTTTCACATAGCTGAAAAAAAGAGTGTTTATTAAAAATAAATCATTTTATTTATAGAGAAAAGATGAAAAATAAAAGTATGATTTGATACCTCGGTTAGTTCTGAGAGGTGACGTGTTCTAAACTCATTGATTGTGGCAGCTATTTCGGACATTGGTAATTTAGCCTATCAAAAATAAGTTTGAGAAAATGTTTCTGAATTCTGATCTATTTATTGCAGAAATAAACAATACTTTTATTTACTTAAATAAAATCAAACATTAAGTACCAACTTTTTAGAAATTTGCCCTTATAGGTCTAGATGCAAGAAAAGAAATAACAATGCTTTTATTTATTTGTGTTATAGCATCCAGCATCCAACTTCTTTTTTTTTTCTATTCAGCATTGTGCTTTTTTTCTTACCAAGTCTAAGGCATTGTACTTTCTTTTTTATACTTTGAAAAGGTCGAACAATTATAGCAATGAAAATTGGTATAATCAATTTTTAAAGTATGATGCTATAATAAGAAGCAATGAAAGTAGAGTGCTATAAAAAAAAAAGGGCAAAAATAAATAAAAACAAATTGTATTTTCATTGTTTTATACATTTAGACACTTTGACTATTTTAGATAGTGATTAAACCATTAATATTTTTTTGATTTTGGATTTTTATAAAAGCATAATGTATGTATACCATTTTATCGATTTAGTCACTGAATTATCATCATAGTTTTCAATAAAAAAGCAGATAATAACCTGAAATTGAAAACCGGATAGCATTTAATGGAATATATAAAACAAGGCCTTACTTGTGCAAGAACAGCAGCTGCTAGCTGTAAACTTGGCTCTAAAGTCTCTGGCACAACCTGCATTGTGTTTTTTTACTCAAAGTTAATATGGTGTGAGGGATTTATATGAAAAGGAAGAGTAAAACAATATTGATACAAAACCCAAATTAAGACAAGTGTCAAGATCAAGGAAGGAAAGGAATGCTTCATTCCATTGTAAAGAAAAATGTTGTTTCTTGAAGCAATGTGATTCTTCCCATTTTGTTAATTTTCATTCCTCAAACAGCAGAGTGTTTTTTTTTTCATTTCATCATGGAATGGAACTCAAAAAAATAAAATGAAAAATAAATTTTGGAAATCGTCATGATTTTAATTAAATTACAATTTTGATTTTTTAATGACCTTGTATCATGTTATTTTTTTAATTTTGTAAACAGCAACGCCATTTTATTTATTTGTGTATTATAGCATACTACTTTATTTCTTTCTGTTACACTTTACATTTTTTTTCTTATTAAGGCATCATACTTCAAAAAATCTACCCAGTTATAACTTATAACAGCAAAATTTGCTTTGTATTTCAATGACATTGCCATTATTGAGTGGATTTTTCAAAGTATAACGATGGATGTTATATTAAAAAAATCAATAAAAATGTTTTGCTATTTCTTGCATTATTACTCTTTGTAAATAAAATAACTTTAAGGGTAAATGCAAGAAACAGCAATGTAGTTTCATTGATTTGTTTATTAGGGCGTCCAGCTTTCATTTTTCCTATTATGACATTGAACTTTAAAACTCTACCCAATTATAGCAATGCCATCAAAATACAAACCAATTTCACCACCATAACAAGGTACATTTTTCAAAGTATAACATCTTAATAATAAAATTTCAAAATACAATTCTATAATTGGATAGAAAATTTTGAAGTACAATGCTATAATATAAAAGAACTGTAAGTAAGATGTAATAAAATAATAAATTAAAGTAGACTGATACTTCTTGCATTTAGCCCAAATAACTAAACAACGAATAAAGTAGAGTAATATAAAAAACTCATGAAAAATAGAGGCTATAATTTAAGCAGTTAGTACAACATATTTTAAAACTTGTATCGAATTATAGCAATGAAAATTGGTTTATATTTGAAAAACTTTGCTAGATTTTTCAAAAAGTTTGATGCGCCGATAATAAACAAAAGTAGGTTGGTATTTGCTGTAAAGAGAAAAATACCGCTGTTGCTCCAGCTTTCTCCAAATTGAGTCCATGATCAACATCATGAGCACGTACAAAAGTCTTCACATTGGGGAAGTATTTGCTGAGAGCCCAAACAGTTCTATAATTTGCACCAGGTGTATCCAAAGTTATTGCTGCAGCACAGGCCCTTTCTGCCCCAATTTTATGAAGAACCTGAAAAATCAATCAATAAACATTAAATAAATCAATGAAAGTACAGTGCTATCTCTTACAAATGTGTTTGTTTTGTGTTGGTGTTGTGATAGAAATTGAAATTGGGTGGGGGTGGGGGTGGGGTTCACCTCTCGACTACCAGCATCACCAAAGTATACAGGAAGGTCAAGTGCGCGTCCCACTGCTACTCGATCACTGGTGATCATGGAAATTTTAGATGCCAATTCACTACTTATCATATAATTCATAAAAAGTAAGGGATGAATGGAAAAGAAACAACCATGTACTTTCATATATTTGTGTGTATTACAGCGTCTTACTTTCTTTCTATTACAACAACTTTTTTTTTCTTATTAAAGCCATTGTTATACTTTGAGAAGTCCACCCAACCATATATGGTATCGCACTTGTTTTTTTTCTTATTATACAAGTGAAAACGGTTTTGTATTTAAGTGGCATTTGTGTAGCAGCCTATAACTAGGTAGATTTTCCAAATTACAATGTACTTTCATATATTTGTCTTTTCATTCTATTACAGAATTGTACTTTCAATTTTTTTTTCTTATTAGGCCATTGTAATTTAGAAAATCAACCCAATTACAGCATTTTATTTTTAATTTCTTTTTCTTATCATAGCAGTGAAAAGTGCTTTGTACTTGGATGACATTGCCATAATTGGGTAGATTTGCTAAAGTACATTGCTGTAATAAGGAAAAATGAAAGTAAGATGCAATCATTGAAAGTGCATTGCTATTTCTTGCATAAGAATTTATAAAAAAGCAAGAGATGTGGATAAGTGTAAAAGTTAGGTGAGAGAAACAGTATAGGCTAGTTATTATACACTTCACAAACAGTAAGGGCTAAATGCAAGTAACAACAATGTACATTCATATATTTGTGTATTATAGCATCCAATTTTCATTTCTTTCTATTACAGCATTGTACTATCAGGTTTTTTCTTATTAAATATCTACCCAATTATAGCATTGTACTTTTATTTATTGTTTCTTATTATAGCAGTGAAAATTGCTTTGTATTCAGATGACATTGCTATAACTGTGTATATTATTTTCTAAAGGTACAATGCTGTAACGAAGAGATGTGATAAGTGTGTGAGAAGACACTTAAGGAACATAAAAGTAAAATAACTCCATACCTCCTCACGTCAAGAGCAACAAATGGAATAAGTCTTTCAGAAAGCAGCTGGGCAATGATCTGAAAGAACCAAAAAAGTTAAAATAAAAATATTTAAACATCACATAAAAATAGCCACCAACATCATGTTCATGTCCATCTTATTAACCTTAGTTAAATTCAATAATACAACACAATTTTAAGATTAGAATATACCTGGCCTACACGTCCAAAACCACATATAATGATATGATCCTGCAAATCATCCGTCTGAAAATAGGATACATCAAATTACAAGAAATTAGAAATGAACAGAATACTTGATCCATGTAGTTTCCAAAATCACATTATTAAATAAATCTACAGATGTGATGCTATTTTCTGAAACCTTCTTTTCTTGACATATAGCAACTAGATTCACTCAAAAAAAAAAGCACTTTACATACTAAATTCCATGTCCAATGCTTTCCCTCCAACTTTTTGTGTCATTTTCTAATTTCCCCCTAAAAGATATACATTTGGGAAAAGTAATTTTTGGGATATTATATATTACCTCACTTTCTACAGGTAATAGACTACGAACATCTTGCTGTTCGAAGCGAGATGCTATTAACTGCCCTCCAGCAGCTAACCATGGTGTGATAGCCATTGAAATCCCCACCACAAGAAATAGCAAAGAAGACAGCTGAGAAGTCATTATACCCTGAAATAAAACCATAAAATTATAAATTATAAACATAGTAACTGTACTAAAATACATAATATAATTTCGCCCGGTTCCATGGCTTAAAGAAAAGGAATAGACGTTTGGTTCATAGGATGTTTTGGAAGGAATGGAATCTGTCAAAGGAATTGGAATCAGATAGAATCATAATCTGAAAAGCGTTTGGCTGGCAAGAAACGAGATGGAAATAAATTCAATAATAATAAAAAAAATTATTGATTTTGGAATTTTTCTTTTTATTTAGATTATTTTTTGTTTCTGTAAATATAAATACTTAAATTTCTTAATTTTATTAATGTCAAAATATAATGAGGGTATTTTGGTCATTTGATAAAAAGAGAAGAATGGAACCGAATTCCTTCCACCCTCCCTAATGAATCATGAAATCCACCAACCACAGAATTCGAAGATTCCGATGGAGTTGAATACTTGAATCCCATCCATTCGTCAAACTTACACATCACCAGAGCCAGAGAGTGTTTTTTTGCAGAATATTTTTGGAAGGAATGAAATCCATCAAAGGAATTGGAACATGAAAGAATCCTAATCTGTCATGTGCTTGGTTGGCAGAAAATGAGAAGGAATTTAATAACAAAATAACTAAATCATTTTTTTATTTTTTATCTATTACAAATAATATCCAATCAAAAATTTTATTATCGATATATAACGAGCGTATTTTGGTCTTTTAACCAAAAAAAAAAAGAATGGAACTGCATTCCTTTTAGCCTCCCCTAGGAATAGTGAAATCCATCAAACATGGAATTTGCATACCTGATTGACAGCTTCACCAAAGGCCACAAATGCAAATTCTCCACCAGGTGCAAGTAGAAGACCAACTCTGATTGCAGATATCAATGAGACACCAAAAAGCCTACCAACTACAGCCACAAGTATGGTCTTCCCAACAAGCAGAAGCCCTAAAGTCCCCATAATAACAGGAAAGTTTGAAACTAGAAGTTTTGGATCAATTGACATTCCAACCTGAAAAAAAATAAAAAAATCAAGTCCTTTGAAATCCCCTTCTTTTGTAAATGGTACAATTCTAGATGAGAGCATCCACAATAGGGAGCTTATTGGGTCATATTAAGCTACCAAATAGTCAACTCTCCTATTGTGGAGTTTTTTGGAATACATGTGCAAGTACAAGCTTAATTATAGAGTTTTTCATTCATTGGGACTGAATGCCACGTCATCAGTCACTTTGTTAATTCCTTGTTTGTATATCACTATATTGTATGAATCCTGAGATGTCGAGTTCAGGATTTTTATACAAGATACAAACAAGGGAACTAACTAACTGATGACATGGCATTCAGTCCCACAACTGATGATGTGGCATTCAGTTCAATAGAAGGTATACCGTCATGAAGAAGAGGCCTAATAGAAGGCCACGATATGGAGCAATATCTGATTCAACTTGCAAAGAGAATTCAGTTTCTGCAAGTAGCAAACCAGCCAAAAATGCTCCTAGTGCCATGGAAAGCCCAGCCTGAGAAAATAAATATGAATGACAAAATGATTTTTTAAATATTTATATAAAGATAGTTAAATTAAGTGTGCTCACCCTCGCAGTAAGGAGACTAGTTCCCAGGATAACCAGGAGAGTATTTGCAGAGAATATTTCTGCATTCTGCATCTCGGCAATTTGCTTGTAAATTGGCCGAAGTAACTGCAAGTTCCAAGAGGGGAAATAAGCTAACAATTGCCCATAAAATGCATCAAAACTTCTATCATTATACTCTGAGCATGTTTTATTATAATGAATTAAATGCATGAAATAGCAATTTACTTTAATATATTTGTTTATTATAGCATCATACTTCCATTTTTATCCTATTACAGCATTTTACTTTGAAAAATCCACCCAATGATAGCAATATCATCCAAATACAATGCAATTTACATTGCTATAATTAGGTAGATTTTTCAAAAGGACAATATCGTAATATGAAAAAGATACAATGCTACAATTGGATAGATTTTTCAAAGTAAAATACTGTAATGAGAAAAAAAATGAAAATACAATGTTGTAGTCGAAAAAGATGGAAGTTAGATGCTATGTAAACAAATAAAAGGAAGTACATTGTTATTTCTTGCATTTAACTTTAACCCTTATACTTGGAGATGGGATCTTATAGGGAGCTTGCAACAGTTTTTTTGGGTCTCGATCAGGGTGTAGGAACTATGCCGTGTCTGGTTTGCAGACTTATTCTGATGGAATCTGTCAGAATTGGAATTCAAGATTCCATTCCATGTTTGGTTCATTAGTTGTTAAATGGATGGAAATCAATTCCGTTGGAATCCTTTAAATTCCATGTTCGATGGATTTCACTATTCCTAGGGATGGCGGAAGGAAATTTAATTTCATTCATTAGTTTTTTGAAAAGACCAAAGTACCTTCATTATTGTTTAATGTAAAAGATTCAATTATATATATATATATATATACACACACACACACACACATTAAACAATAGATATTTAAATGTAAATATATATTAATTTTTATTATTGAATTCCATTCCATTTCCTGCCAACCAAACACATGACAGATTATGGATCCTTCAAATTCCAATTCGTTTAACAGATTCCATTCCTTCCAAAAACATTCTAACCAAACACCCCTAAGAGAGTAAAGGTTATGACGTTATGCACCCAAATGAAATTATTAAAGAAGGGTACAAGTTGGATCATGTTAAGAATCAAATGCAGATGTTGTAATTAATTTCATAAATTGTATAGAAAGTTTACCAAGCGTCCTCCAGCAATAATGGCGCTAATAGCAACAAGTGCCTTCACAGCAGCCAATCCAAGAGCTTCAGCAATTGCTTGGAAGCCAATCTGAGAGCATAAAAGGATTGTTCATTGATGAGGGGAGTTAGAACTATCAAATCAGGTTACAAGCAAAACAACATCTTAGGCTTTGTAACATATATAAGGTTTGGCTTTTGTATCTATAAAAAACAACATATTAGTTACGGGGTTTTGTTTCAAAACCAAACCCAACAGTATCTTAATATGACATGATTATCATAACATATATAAATTCTCAATGGAAACCGTAAATGCATGTTACTTATTTTAATTTTTAACATACTTATTCAATTCAACACAGACGTTTTGAATATTTAATATTTCTGATCAGTTTGGGTTTTTTTTTGGTTTTCATAATTTCTCATTTTTGGTTAGGTTTCAACTTTTTTTGCATGCCCATATGAAAAACAGATCCAGTTGAACCGGGCTAGAAACTGGTTATTTAGGTTTGGTTTTGGTTTTGACTTAAAGAACATAGTCATTAAATGAATGGTGTGTGTTGATAAAAATACTTACCCCTCCTTTTGATGAATTTGGTGAAATAAGAGGTATGAGAATCAGCAAAACAACAACAGCCAAGTCCTGACAAAAAAGAGACATATCAGAAAAATAAAAATAAAAAGTAGCATGATTTCTGAAGATAGAGAGAATGAGCAAGAAAACATACCTGAAAAAGTAAAACAGAGAATGTAGCTCGTCCATGACGTGATGTGCTCTCACCTCGTTCCTGCAATACCTGTACAAGTAGAAGATTGATATCAACTTAATGGGATAAGTGCAAGAAATAGCAATCTCTTTTATTTATTTTTAGTTATAGCATTCTCTTTTCATTTCTTTCTTCCAATTACAGCATTGTACTTTTATTTTTTTCTTTTCTTATTAAGCCATTGTACTTTGAAAAACCTACCCCATTATAACTGTGAAAATGTTTTTATATTTGATTTAATGGGCTAAGTGCTAGAAACAGCAACTTACTCTAATTTACTTGTTTATTATAGCATTCTATTTGCATTTCTTCCAATTACAACTTCCTACTTACAAAAGAAATTCATAATAAAACATTATTTTTTGAAAAATCTACCATATTACAGCATCATCCTTTCAAAAAGAATTTATTATTAGGGCATTGTCTGTGAAAATCTCAGTGAAAATGATCTGTATTTGGATGACATTCTACTAATTGGGTAGATTTTTAAAAGTACAAGGCTATAATAGAAAGAAAAAAATGATTGTAAGATGCTATAATAAATAAACAAATCAATGAAAGTACTGGTGATTACCTGGAGGACAACAGCAGTGGAAGATAGTGCCAGGCCATTACCAATGACAATTGCAGCAGGCCCTAGCTGTCCACAAACAAAATGGGCAACCATTCCAACAACAACAGCTGTCGCCAAGACCTGTGTAACAAGGATTTAAATATTGGGAGTAATGCAAAAAAATAATAATAATAATGATTTAGGCTTGTTAATAGTTATAAAAACCAAATGATTGCAATTTACCTGAGCAGAACCTAATCCAAAAACATATTTCTTCATGGAACTCAGCCTTTCAACAGAAAGCTGCAGAGAGTTTACAGTTTTAATCAACTTTCTTCTGATACAGATGCACAAACTTAAGATAAACTAAGGGCTAAATGCAAGAGCTAGCAACGCACATCCATTTATTTGTTTATTATACCATTTCATTTTTCATTTCATATTGTTACTGCATTGTACTTTGAAAAATATAGACAATTATAGCAATGCCATTCAAATATAAAGCAATTTTAATTGCTATAATTGAGTATATTTTTCAAAGTGCAATGCCTCAATAAGAAAAGATTGAAAATACAATGTTGTAGCAGAAAAAATGCTGTACTAACAAATAAATGATGGTATGTTGTTATTTCTTGTATTTAGCCCCAAACTAAAATCAGACTTAGGTATACTAACCTCGAGGCCAATATTGAAAAGCAAGAAAACAACTCCAAATTCAGCTATTGCTTTTGTAGCATGTACATTGCGTATAATTGAAAGACCATATGGTCCAATCAAGATGCCAGCAGTCAGATACCCAAGAACAGGACTGCCTGGAGACACAATCAGATGAAAGAATCAAAAGATTAGGTCATGACAAACTGTATTCCTATAACCATAGAATGCTGTAAACTTAAAAATATAAATGATCGAGATTTATTTAAAAAAAAAAAAAAAAAAAAAAAAAAAACATAATAACTAATAAACAAGATTTTAGGGACATGATCATTTGATATTTTGACATGCAATTTCAAAGATAAAGCATATAACAATGTTAGCATAAATATACCTCCAGGAAGTTTCTGGAATATAGGAACAAAGATAACACTGGCAAGTAATAACCATAGAATGTCCAACAGGGAAGCTTCTTCTTCATTCATCTGAATAGATTAAGCATGAGATCAGTAAGCATAAAGCACTAAACTAAATAGCATTCATTGCCCAACTTGAGACAAATGGTAAACAGCAGCATACCTCTTGATGAGGAAGCATTGCAATAAGCTTTTTGACTCTCATTGGTAATTTCCTTATTTGTTTGACCAATGGCTTAGCATTTGATGAAACTTCATCAATACTTGTGGTGATAATGTCAGGTTGTTGAAATAGTTGATGGATCCTTTCTTCCCGTTTAGCATAAAAAGCAAAACTGACATGTATATAGTCATCACATGATAAGAGGAAAAGAATTTCAGGACCAAATATTAGTAAGTGACTAGTTCTTTTTTTCTTTTAAATTACCGAATTAGAAAGAAATTTATACCCTGCCGCAAGAAGCATAGAGCCAAGCACAAGTTTAGGTATTTGTGATCTTGTGGAATCGATTAGCCATTGAAAAAATGAAGTAGGAGTAAACTCGGTATCATCCTCTGCAGAAGAGAAAAACGATGCTGAAAAGAAACGGGAGGACTTCTTCAACAATGTTTTAGAAGAATTTAATGGTGAAGTGTCTTTGGTCAAATCCTTCTGCGTTTCTGGCTTTTTTGTTTGACTTTTCGTCTTTTCTGCATCATATTCCACCTCTTTAGATGGTAAACTTGGTTTCCCATTCTCTTGTTCACTGTCATCAGAAAATCTCGACTCTTCAAACATTTGGCTATCTATTACATCTTCAGTGGTGGAAGAACCCTCAATAGATCCATCAACAATTATCTCCACAGAATTTCCTTGAATGCCCTTATCATCCTCACCCATTGAATCCTCATTTAAACTTTCAGAGGTATCCACAGGGGAGATGGGAAGCAATTTCTCAGCTTTCTGCAATGCAATTTCAGCATCATTAACACGTTTCGTAGCCTCCAGTTCAAAAGCAACAGCTTCCTCGGCTAAAAGCATTATATTTGCCACATCCTCTTCAGCTCTCAAAGCTTCCATCTCTGCTTTCTTTGCAAGATCTTTAAGCGTTTCCACTTCTCTTTCCAACCCATCTTTCCTATTCTGCAACTGAGTCAATGTTCCTTGACAATTAGCCAAAGTCAAAAGACACTCTCTTATATCTTCCTGAGCGATAAAGACAGCTTCCTCTTCTTCTCTCAATGGATTTAAATTTTTTTCTTCACTTTCATTTTCCATACTTGTTCTTTCTTTAGCAACTTCTAGCGAATCAAGAGCCAATGTAAGCCTAGCCTCAGATAATGATAGTGCCATTGCAGCTCTCTGAACAGCTTCATTAGCAGCAACCTCTTCATTTGTAATCTCTTCAATCAAAAGCAAAGTTGAATTGACACTATCTTGAACACTTGAAGCTTCATCTTTTAGTGCTATTGCTGCTTCTGATACCCTTTGAGCCTTTTCTTCAAACATGGTACTGTTAAGTTGAGCAATCTCCAATTCCTTAAGTGCCTTCTGCAACACTTTCTTTAATTCATCTACACTTGGGTTCTCTGTTTCCTCATCTTCCCCCTCGTCATTTAACTTTTCTGGACCAAAATTAGTGTCCCCTGTTGGGTTCTCTTCACTACTACTCTCAATAAAATCAACATCCCTCTCCGTCCCATCTATATATGCAATTGAATCATTTCCTTGACATGCTACTTTAACTCCTCTTGATGTCTTAAGTATACAGAGAGTGGATTTCGGTTTACTATAACTCCACAAACAACTTTTCAACTCACCTCCACTATGACTAGACAAAATCAATTTCTTTAACTTCTTTCTAGGCCCAACAAACACGAGCCTTGTGTTGCCAAACAATTTGTAATCATACCTTGAGCGCACAGTTAGCTGCTTTAATGCTCTATAACTAGTACCTTCACTGCCACGGATTTGAAAACTACATGAAATATCCATATTTACCTCGCTTTCACTTTCTAACTATAAACTACTGATAGAACCAACTCTCCTTTTTGTGTCGTCATTCACCTGTTGAAGCAAATTGATTTCACACATACTTCAGAAAAGAATCAAACATGCATGCTATATACATGTGCTTAATAATCCAAATTTCAGTCATCCAAAGTCTAATTTGTATAATATGTGTAGTTAATTTCAAGCATAATTCACAGTTTCTATAGTTGTTGAATCTCTTATTGATGTCAAATTTGCCACCAAAAAAAATTAAAAAAACAAACTGGATTACAACTCAGATGTACCTAAAAACTCTACTACTGTAACTTAAGCAAAATTCACTTCAAAATAAACAAAAACACACAATCAGAAATTACTTAATATTAATATATATCCATTCAGAAATCATGCTCAAGTATAGTACATATACTCTATCTCAATGTCTATATAAAAACAAGCATCATTCCTACATACAAACTCAAAAATAACAAAACAACCACTTTTTTTCTGCATGTGTGAATGTCGATATGCAGATAGGTTCGACATGTCAAATTTCAAGTCAATTCTTGATAGCTCGACTTCAAAATTCATTATAAGTACCCTACAGAACATCACAACCATGTCCTACTCAAAGCTAATCAATTATTAAGCTATCTTCGTACATTCCAGTTCAAATTTTTGTATATGTATCGATCGGACGACATCTGTATAAAATGTCTATATAAATTCGAAATAATTATGTACAGATGACAGCTCATTCGTGTTCGAATAACAAAAGTTTCGATCATCCAATGTCTAGTTTCTAACAAGTTGACTTCAATATTGGCTAAATATGCTCTAGAAAACACTAAAATAATCAACAAATTAACCGCAATCAAGCTTCCGTTCTACATTCTACTTCGATTTCCAAACTTAAAAGAGCATGTATATGTGTGTAGTTAGAACTGTATACGCGTGTGCAGATGAAGTGAAAACTTACTGATCGATCGTTACATGTGGACTAAGACCGGAAGGTTGAGCTCGAAAAATATCAATGGCGGATTTTCTCAGGAAAAAATTAGGTTAAAAATGGAAATGATGAAGGGATGATGACGTCAGTGGCCCAGGGGAAGGGGAGGAGAGTGTTGTGTCTAAAAAGAAAGAATATACTAAAAGAGTAAAAGATGCCTTAAAAATCTGGGCTGAGCTTGTTAATCGGGTCGGACATAAACGGATTACAGCAGTGATCGTTGGATACAAGATTAATATAATGGGAAATTGAGTAACGTAACTCGTATAAATTTGATAAGAATTTGATAACAATAATTATTTTTTTATAAATTTTAGAGTAAATTACATGAATGGTCCTTTAAGTTTGCATTTTTTTTCTCGAAGTAGTCCTTACAAAAGGTTTTTCCCCTAAATGGTACCTACGGACGTAACATTAATGTTAACGGTCCTTGTGTTGGATGTCCGTCTAAAGCAACGTTAACATGCTCCCATGTGTTTGCACATGAGGATATTTTAGTCATTTCTCCTAATGATACCTACGGACGTAACATTGACGTGAACGGTCCTTGTGTTGAATGTCCGTCTAAAGCAACGTTAACATGCTCCCATGTGCTTGCACATGAGGATATTTTAGTCATTTCTCCTAAAAGGATCGTTTGTGAACAATTATCCGAAGAGGTATATTACCCTCTTCTTCCCCCCAATGTGATCGACCACTGTAACCTATAAAGAACGAAGTAAACGCAATAGAATGCCAATATGCGCATGTGGAAATTGCAATCTTGTTATTGTCACATCGTGGTCTGATTGCAACCCTGTAAGGTGATTTTGGTCCTATATTCGTAATGAGAGGAGGTACGATCAGATTGGGTGGTTTGATGAGCCCATATGCCTTAGATCGGTGGAAGTGATACTTGGGTTACTCAGGTCTATGAACAAGCTCCAAAGAATCCTTTCAACCGGTTACAATGCAAGCAAGGATGTATAAGTTAATACTTGTATTCAGTTGGGGTCTTTTTGCAATTTTTTACCTGAAGCATGCTTGATTAGAGTTTGATGTGGTAAAAGACTATGACAACCCGAAATTTCTTTCTTGTACAAACCATTCAAATCAATCAAGTTCAAACTTGTTTTTGCTATCTTCTAGCATTGTTTAGAGTCAGTTAAAGTGTTCTAAGCCTTGTATCTTCAAAGTTAGGGTTTAGAAAGGAGTCCCGCAAGTTCAACACTTCAAAAATCGGCCAAACACTCCAACTTAAGGAGTGTACGGCTGTACACATGGAGTGTACGACCGTACACCCCCTTCTGGTTGTACACTCTCATGTATAAATGAGAGTGTTAGCCTCCTTTCACCTCTTTTCCCACTCTTAAGCCGAAAATTCAACTTCTCTCTCAAGTATCATCCGATTTTGCTTCTAGATCTTCAAGTTGTAAGTGTTTTCTTCCTTCTATTTGATGATTCGTTACACTATCTAGTAAGGATCTACCATTTCATCCATGAAATTACTCATTTTGATTAGATCTTCAAGTGTTCTCCAAGAACACCAAGCACATCTACTAAGTTTTGGACATCAAACACCCCTAAAGGCTTCTCTATTGTAAGTACCACTCCTTGTGCTTGTTTCTTACTGACTTTACTCCTTAGAAAACATATAGAACATGATCAATAAGAAGTGTATGGTCGTACACCCCTTTATTTGGTGCTTAATGGCCTTAAAACTCATGTTCTAGGCTAGCACTTGATCAAGAACACTTAGAGAATGAAAGATAGAACCTTGGAATACCCTTTTGACCATTTTTACATGATTATCAAGGGTGTACGGCATACACTCCTTGTATGGTCGTACACACCCTTTTTAGGGCCCAAAATGGCATTTAACTCTCAATAAGGTTAAGTATTGGTCAAGACACACTACCTAGATGCTTAAGAGGACTTTAAAACACTCAATGACATGTTTCACCATGAGTGTACGGCTGTACACTCACTTGGATCGTACACTCTGGCCGTACACACACATGAAACACAACATCTTGGTCGTAAACACTAATGTGTGGCCATATACCCATTATATGCAACCCTTAGTACTTCTAGCACTTGAATCGAAGTGTTTTCTATAACCTAGGGTGTCTTTCCTTACATAATTAGTTGTTTAAACACTAATTGTAAACGTGTATGTATGTATGTATGTATATATATATATATATATATATATATATATATATATATATATATCATTATATGATAAATAGGATCCGTGTGTGTACTTAAGTCTTCACTTGGCACTTAGCATCTTATACCACTCGTTCATCCAAACCACTCACTACAGGTGAGTTCATACCCCTTAATCTACCTTTTAAATGATTTTAAATGCTTTTATGGGGGGGGGGGGGAGTACAAGTTGAAACATTATAGTTATTATATCATTCACATGTGATTAATAACTATCAAACAAATGGATTTACTATACTTTTAACTGTTTTATCAAGCAAACCACTTCAAAATGTTTATTAAACTTGTTCTTATATGCCAAACCTTTTCTTTTAACTCTTTTAAACTTATATATAGTCAAAACCATGTCTAATGCATATATAGTTATATAAGTAAGGTTGGGAGGACTTAGGACTAACAACTCACTTTATTTCATGTTCTTTGTTTAGTTGTTGACTTAGAGTAGCCTGTTGTTTGTTCGAGTGTTGTTTGATCTTTAGTTATATATTATGTATAGATGTATAGACATAAAACCTTTTATCTCAGTTCAATACCTTTGGGTAGCAAAGGTGTTCAAACATGTTCATTATACAAACAACTCTACAAGTAAACTATAATAGGTATAGTTTAGGAAGTCACTACTCACTATTTCTAGTACAATGAAACATACAAAGAGTCAGTTCATACATGAGTCAATAGATACTATAAAGAGAAACAGGTAGAGAATACTATAACAAGAAACAATACTCAATATAAAGAGAAACAGATAGAGAATACTATAGTGAGAAACAATACATACTATATACTATACAAGAGAACATATTATGATGAGAAACAAAGAGAACATACTACATACTAGACAGATAGAACATACACTACACTAGTACATACAATACATATACAATAATACTATAACATAAATGTGAGTCACTACTTCGGGGCATGGCATCACCGTTATCTCTCGTTTTGTAACCAGAGTCTCCTGTAAGGAGAGCGTGAATTTATGTATAGATCTATACGGGACTGATCATCCTACACCTTGCTGCTAGCTACAGTGGGACCTGCAGGTCTACGGGTGACGAATGTCATACCATTTCGACGTCTTCGAGCGTCGTGTTTTACTAAGTCGATCAAGTATGGTTACAATTATATCACATTATACCTTAATTAACAATTGGTTTAAGGTGGTTAGTACAACATTAGTCATTATAATACAACACTACAATACTTTATTATTTCTCATTGCATTCACATTGTGATCTTCTCACATAAACAGTAATGTAAAAACTATATTTTGTTAATCATAGTCACACTTGGGAAAAATACACACTTTTACAAGAAACAAACACTCAGAACATTTGATGCCTTGGTAGAAGGCTACTTTTAGTAGAAAATATAGGATTTTCTAGGAGATACAAACATTTACTACAAACTTTTACAAACTTATACATTAAACACTTACAAACATTTTCATACAAACAATGACACTAAAATGCTTATGAACTCCCTAGCTTTAAAGCTGATAAACTCTTTCAAAATAACTTGTATTCTCATGTCATCGGTAGATAGGTACCAATGCCAGGTTTTGAGAAGATGGAGCACGTTCAAGACTCATCTCTTATTTTGATTCATATTTTTGGTGTCTTATAACTATACAGAACACACTTGTATTAAATTATATTATTAATGTAATGGATGATGTTGTTGCTTGTTTACTATTATGCTTTGTTGTGATATTGTACATGATGTCCTCCGCCCCAGAACGTTTCCGCCGTTCCGGTTTTGGGGTGTGACAAAGACTGTCTTACCCCTATCTTAGCTTGATTTAACTCAAGGCCCAATCCAAAGGTCCAAAAGTTAAACTATGAATCAAAGC